GAAATAATTTCCCGATGAAGTCTTTCCAATTGCATCCTGTAAGAACGTTTAGGAATCCAAATTGAAGGATGTTAAGTTTAATGGGTCTTAGACATTACCTGTCCAATTATTGCATAAAACATGCACTATACTTTTTTGGATTTCCACAAAGGACGAACGCAAAACGAAGGAAGTAAAAAGATTATAATAACTCATCAAATTTCAGCAAACAATTTTTGTCAAGCTAAGTACTCATCCAAAAAATTTTCAAGCCAATATAATTTTGTAATAAACTAAAACCATTTCTCATCATTCAAACTCTACCTTTGCCCCCAGCTTCCAACACCGGTTTCGTAACTTAAAAATTACACTAATTGCTACAAAACTACAACTAAGAAAACATACACCATACATTTCTAAATCCCAAAGAAGGAAAGCTAATTAGTTAGCAAGAAATATTGTAGTCATTTATACTTAACAATCCAAAAGCATTGCACGTAACTTTCAAAATTACAACTTTGATCTTCGAAAAGTCATAATACATATCTTCTCATTACATAAACCTAATATTAATCATCAAAATGAACTCATTAAAAGTCAATAAAAGTCTAAAATTCTCAATCCAACAAGATCAAACCAAAAACACAGAGAACATAACAAATCCAGACATGGCAGACACATCATTAACAGCACCACCAGATCAGTTACTTGTTGGACACTCACTTGCCTTTACAGTTTACATGCCTCTGCCCATATTTCCTCCAATCGTAGCCATCATTTTCTATTTTGGGACGAGGATTTGAGGTCATTGCAGCAGTTCGGGCCACGGGTGTGGAGAAGGGGATAGCTTTTCAAACCGTGAAACAGAGTAGTGGGTGTGATGAATGATTCGACGGCGGGTAAACCCGTGATTGGAGGAAGGCATCGAAGTGGGGTTTGGGAAGCCATCAGAGTTGCTACAGTCTGGTGTAGGTAAGATTGCGATGGCAGCTGTGAAAATGAAAACCCAAACTTTGAAATAGATTAGTGGGTGCGATGGATGATTCGACGGCTGAGTCTGGTGGTTGTGTACATAGTATAAGGGCAGTGTGGTGCCAGCAATTGGAGAAGACAACAAAGTCACCGAAGTCCAGTTTGTAAGATGGCTAAGGCAACCGTGAAAATGAAAACCGAACGTAGAAGAAGAGACTTTCAGATCAGTCTACTGAGTCGAGGAGGAAGAAAGAAAAAAAAAATGACTATTCTAGAACCAAGAAGACACTCTCTGATATTTCCAAGTTCCAACGCCTCCCCACTGAAAAACTAAGAGCTGAGCCGACGCAAAATTTGGCTTGTGAGCCGACTTAAACGGCTTGTGAACAGTAACCAAAACCACCTCTTTTATATGTAGTTAGATTAGATAGAAATGTGTAGACATAACCCAAAATGTCAATTTGTCCTAACTTGAGGATTGTCGTTTTTTGCTTCAAAAGTTCAACAATTATATAATGCAGTGATTGAGCTAAGAAGATAGTTATGCAAAACCACCTATCTGTATAATTCGGACATAGTTTTAAATATAAAACCAAACCGAACATTACAAGTTTTGTGCCGCTTGAAGGACTACCTACAAGCTTGTTAACACCCAAAAGACGCGTTTTACACACATATTACAGTCATCATGTACATACCGATACTTAAAGAAGCTAACTCACATTCCTATAAGATCCCTTTGCAATTTGCAATGCAATGGCATCGAAGGAGCTAAGATTAAGTTAGGGCTTGTTCGGGAGTGATTTTGAGAATTGATTTTTTTGACCTTAAGAGAAAAGTCGGGGCCACCTGTAAAAGAAGAAATCAAAAATTACAGCTGAAATAATGAAATAACGGTAAAAAACATCAATTTTTTTGAGTGAAAAGTCACTCCCAAACGGGGCCTTATTCTCTTCCATGTAACGTTCTATTTTCCCTACATCTTCGGGGGTATCAACTCCATGGGCCTCATGGTCAACTTTTATCACCTACTTGCAAAGAAGAATGGAAATTTTTGAGGGAACTTGATTTTTCCAAACTGCAAGAAACAAGCAATGAACTATTTTCCATATATAGCTTCTCAATATCTATATGAAATTATGGTTAACACAAAAGATGATATAAGAATTCGATAGTATGGTAAGAAAAAAATAGATGAATCACTTTGCTTCCTTGCGTATTCATCTTCTACTGTTCTTAATACCCATTTTAGTCATACAATTATCTGAGAAATACAAATATTGCATATTACTTGCGTAAACATAATCAGCAATATAACATTTATGAGTTCAGGAGAATCAAGAAAATTAAGTCAACTGATGGATTGAGCCTAGCGATCATAGGGGAGAGTGCACATACACTAAATCATACTAGTTACAGCATGTTTGGGTGTGCTTAATTGTAAAGTCAAACGACCTTTCCAAGTTACTTATGCCAAATATGTTTAAATGGCATCTAGATTCGGTGGCAAGATCTTGGCACGTAAATTAGAATATAATGAACTAAGAAAGAAAGAGGAAAATCAGTAGAAGGAAACATGAGAGAAATTCTAATTGCAACCTTCATTTTGTATCTGTTTTCAAGGACTTTCAGCTGTTCAAGATCTTCTTCCAGTTGAAATGGAGTGGGTGGCAGCTCTGGATATATCTTGAGGAACTTTGAATCAAAGCTCTGTTCAAACATCCAAAACTTAGCATTTTATACTGATAGTGATAGATATAATCAGCTATGTGCTGGGTGTAAATCATAATTAGAAAAGTACTATAAGTTATGCGAGACGTGATTTTGCACATCAGGCTCAAATGGATAGTATGCATGAGGATTAGACAACAAACAAGTTCATGTACTGGATGAGATCATGAGAAAATAGAAAACAAAATCCATCTTAATAAGAGGTGCGGAGTAGAGAAGAGGTAAAGAAATGGCCTTAAGCCTTAACTACGATAGTATAGGATATGGTGCAGAAAGCATTGGTGATGAGTGCACCACAGTTCTATTTATAAGATACCTGAATCCTCAGACGAAGCAAGTACAGAAATTGAGGATTGACCTTTCCAGACCTATATTAAATATATGAAAACAGATGTCCACATTTAGAAATAGTGTGCGACATATGCTTCTCCATACCGATTGCAAAGCAGAGATGCACTAACTTGTTAAATGGTATCAGTCCTCGTGAAAAATAAATTGCATATCCACGATTGTCCACCACACATTTAACACGATTTGGATCAAATGCATCTTCAGATTTCAAAGAAGTAACTGCCGCGCTGAAGACAGCATCTGGAGCAGCCAGTGTTAGTTACAAATCTCATGTGAATTGCACAAGTGGCCATGAAATCATAATTATTCATCAAATACCTAAAATCTTGCATTTAACGATATGCAGTGGAAACAACAGTTGGCGTTATACACTTTTGTTCCAAATTCTCATTCCAGTCTGACAGACGATGATAAGACAATGTTCAGAAAGGTATTTAAGTCTCATTCCAACTCAAAAGTACCATGCAAAACCAACAAGAATAGCCCTAAGGGGAATAGACCAACAACCTAAAGACCTAATACTCTTAGGACCATGGGTGCTCTGGCAGGGATTATAGGACCAAGCATACATCCAGAGGATGTGCACCAAAGAGATTTCCTCAACACCCTGAGACATATGGAACACTAACTTTGGTTTTCAGTAAAAATAAATCAGTGCACTTGTCCGTATCATATAAATAGTTAATCTCCTTGGACATTAGTGTACCCTAAGTTGAAACCATCAATCGTTCTCTATATTCCCTTACGTTAATAGCAGTGTGTCTACTATATAACAGTCATCCTTCAATCCAATGTTCAGTCGAGCACAAAATTTTAAGTGCTATCTACATGCTTTAGTATGGAGTCAAGAAATAAGCACCACGAGTCACAGATCGGTTTGGAGCAACCAACTGGTCATAAATCTCATAAGTCATACCAAATAGATACTGTCAAAGCACTCTTTACTAAATGCAGGGCATCAAATTCAGAGATGCTATTGACTGTTATCTTGATGGGGAGACAAGATAAACAAATTCGAGCTCAACCTTTACAATCTTATTTTTTCCATTTTTTCTTATTTGCTATACTCCCCAATTTCAGTCGCCAGGAAACATACACGATGGAAATATTACCTGAAGTGCCTTGACTATGCTATCTATTAGTTTAGGTTCAACAAGAGGCTCATCCCCCTGAATATTTACAATAATATCATACTTGTTCCCAAGCTTTTGATGTGCTTCATTACAACGCTCTGTGCCTACAAAATTCAGAAGTGCAAAAAATTAGCCATATATCATTTCCATGAGTTGCAGCAGATAGAAGAACTTATCTTACCATTTCGAAATGATTCTGATGTCATTATCACATCAGCGCCAAATTCTCTACAATATTCTGCAATTTTTTCGTCATCCATCGCCACAACTATATCATGAAAAGGATCCAATCAGAAACCACAAAAATCAAAGCTTTACAGTCAGTTTATATCTCTCTTTTTATACATAACCATATATGGAGTGAATGAAGCAGATTTCTACCAACATGATCCAACAGCGATGCCATTTTCGCCCTCTCCCATGTTCTCTGTAATTAACAGTTAAAGGTGAATAATATTGTATCTACTCGTAAACTTAGCTTAATAAACCAACAATGAATGCAAATTATTAGATCAAACACTGATAATGTGGATGAATGAATTCTGATTTCATTACTTACTTGAAAAGAAGATATACAATGGTGCTATAAATAGAGTATACATACGGTGTACAAAGGAAGCCAGCTGGCTGCTAACTATCTATTGACAACCTAACAAACCAACAGACTAACTAACAGATTCTCTAACAAATTTATACACAACACTAATACAAATGAATGAAATTCATGTTCAGAATCTCATCAAAAAGCTTAAGCCTTTCAAGTGGCACATTTATTTATTTAAAGTTGATCTTCAAAAATCCCCACACATTCAGGTCAAAATCATCAGAATATCACTTGCATAATTTGGTGGCAGCAAATATGAATCCAGGTCTTTGACCTAGCTCTGACTATCACCATGTTAATTATCTCATCAAAATGCCCACATTTGTTAGGAATATGACTCAAATATGAGTCTTTTGAAGAGGCGTATTCGACTTGGACTAGGAGATATTAACCTAGGGCTTCAATGAAACTAAGTTGAATAAAGAAATAAAATCCTGTTGAAATTGGGTCTCCTAATTGTAATATATTTTCTTGTCTTTTAGGACTCTTCTAGGGTTGGCCTATAAATACAAGACTCCTCTGGTCAGCTTATAGAGAGTAACATAGAAGCAGAATTGCTAGCCTGTCTAGTATTCTCCATATTGTTGAATTAATAAACATCATTCCTCTACGTTTATCCTTTGTGTTCCTTTTTTACAATTTAAATCTGTTTTCATTGTGTGATCTTGTTTACGTCAATTTTGTCATTACAATTTCGTTCTCTACAATCTGGTTTGGAATCAACGTGTGTTATTGGAGCTTCCATGCTCAGCAAGTGGTATCAGAGCGAGACTGTTGATTTTCTATGGATTGTTTGAGATTCTTTTGGGATGACTGGGTTGAAGTATGATATTCTGTAATTAGATCGCAGTACAAGGTTTTCTTTGTGGCAAGTAAAGATAAGGGCTGTTCTGGCACAGTTGGCTTTGGAAGATGCGTTGTTGGGTTTTGAGAAGATGCCAACTAAATGGACAACAAAGGAGAAACAACAGAGGATCGGAAGGCTACGTCATTGATTCATCTTCATCTGTCCAACAACATTCTACAGGATGTCTTGAAGGAGAAAATGACGGCTGCTTTGTGGTTGAGGTTGGAGCGGTTGTGTATGACTAAGAGTCTTACAAGTAAACTGACTCTTAAGCAAAAGCTCTATTTACATCACATGGCAGAAGAAGAGTCGTTGGAAGACCATGTTGCCATGTTCAAAGAAATAGTTGCAGATCTGAAAACGTTGGAAGTTAAGTACGATGAAGAGGATCTTACCTTGATCTTGTTGTATTCGTTGCCTGGGTCTTATACGTCGTTTTGAAATACTATGTTGTATAGTCGAGATACTTTGACTATAGAAGATGTTTATGATGCTTTGCACTCAAAGGGGAAGATGAAGCATTTAATTGGAGCTACATCAAGGGATGGGGAAGCTCTTGTATCTCAAGGTAGTCGACGAAGAGGTAGATCGAGAGTTAGATTTAGTAATGTGACCTGTTACTACTGCAAAAGGAAGGGACATATTCGGAAGGATTGCGATATGTTGCAGGCTAAACATGATTTAGCTGCAAATCGTAGAACGTAAACCTTGAATTCAGACGAAGCTAATGTAGTTGAGAATTGTTCAGATAACGAAGAGGTAATGTTGACCGTGGTATCTGATGTGGAATCTAGGTCTGACGAGGAGTGGATTCTTGATTCGGCATGTTCGTACCATACGTGTTCCGATAGAAATTTATTTCAAACATATGAGGCTATTCAGCAATGTGGAGTTATAATGGGAAACAACAAGTCTTGCCATATTGCTAGGATCGATCGAGTCAGATTGAAACTGCGGGATGGAACATTTAACAATTGATCAGGTTCGACATGTTCCTGACCTGAAAAGGAATCTCATTTCGCTGAGTACCCTGGATGCAAAAGGGTATAAATTCTCTGAAAGAGGTGGATTCTTGAAGGTCCGAAAGGGAGTCCGAGTTGTACTGGAGGGACGAAGAAGATTTCAGTTGTACATTTTGCAAAGGAGTGCACAACCAGTGAAGAGGAGATATTTGGAAAAGTTTAATACCGTGGTGGAAGTTCAATTTTGGTACAGTACCTTTTATGTTGAGCTCTGAGTCGGTTCAGAACACTACCAGGAAGAGCGTTAGTGATTCCGCTTTGCCACCAATTTCAGTGGGTACATTGTGTTCAATTACTGGGGGTGGACTCATCGAGCGTAGGTACGATAGTATCAATAATGTCTGAGATGCTTCTAGGGATGTTGAAGGTGATAGTTCCAGCAATGAACCTTCTGATCAAGCATCTGGTTTGATTCTTGTTACAGGGTGTGCGTCGACCTTATGTGATCAACATTAATTCCTTGAAGGAATTTTGGGAACCTTGGGTTTGGATTTGGGTGTCGGTTGTGGACGTCAGGCAGAGGATGAGCGTTTGGTTTATATGGAGTAGTTACTATATTGAGGTGATTAGGAGTGGACGCGGGTCGGTTCGGTTCGGTTTTAAAGAGAACCGAACCGAACCAAAATTTTCAGGTATTTAGTAAATGGAACCGTCGGGTCCAAATATAATTATGGAACCGTTCGGGTTCGATTCCGTTCGGTTCAGTTCGATTCCGTTCGGTTCTGTACTATAATTAAATTTTTTAACATTTATAACAGTATTACATAAATACAACTAATGACATATTCAATGGTTTTGAAATGTTAGAAACTAGTAGACTACCTTATTCAAATGATCGCTACGATCAATATTTTGGTTGGCGGAGGTCATAGCTTCGATCAGAGGTCACAGCGTCAGTCGACGATTGTATAGGTTTTTGAATGTCAGGGAGGCTGCGAGAGTCGAAATAGCGTTATGCACTTTAATGTAGGTGTTTAGGGTTATTTAGTGAGTTGGATCTTGATGGGCTATGAAATGAGACAATAAAATAGGTAATTTGGTCAAAAATTTGGATTTAGAAAATGTTAATTTGTTAATTTGTTTAGAAAAAATTAAAATTAAAATAATTTGATTTATTCAATATAAAAAAAAATTAGAAAGATTTGATTCTTCGGTTCTTGGTTGAATAAAAAAACAAATCCTGTTGAAATTGAGTCTCCAAATTGTAATATATTTTTAGGATTCTTCTAGAGTTAGCCTATAAATACAAGGTTGTTCTGGTCAGTTTGTAGAGAGTAACATAGAAGCAATATCGCTAGTTGTCTTGTATTCTCCATACTGTTGAATTAATAAATATCGTTCCTCAGCATTTATCCTTTGTGTTATTTCTTTACAATTTAAATCTTGTGTTTTCATCGTGTAATCTAGTCTACTTGAATATTGTCATTACAATTTTGCTTTCTACAATCCGGTTTGGAATCAATATGTGTTATTGGAGCTTCCACACTCAACAGCATTTACTTATTTAAATGGAACCTAAAGGAAGCAAAACGAGCTGGTATGATCCCGAGAACTTGGTTCTGGAACCATCTTGATCGACGATATGTCAAGTAGGCGGGAGCAACAAGTGCCACTGCGGCTGCCGCCCCCACCACCAGGCCGTGAATAACCCAGAATTTGATTGATATGGAGGTAGAGCACTAAAGTCGGAGCTCTAATCGGAGGATGACGGCGTGCAGATCGCCAGATTGGCATTGGAATTCTTTGCCGGAGAGTTTTGAGAAGGAAGGAAATTATTCAATAACGCTGGCAGAGGTTCGAGTGTTATAAATAGTGTTCTAAACGGCATGTGGCGATGTGCGGCGGTGAAACTACGGGTAGGCGAGACGTATGGTTAAAAACGGTTTTTTCAATTTTAATTTTCAATCCATCAAAAAATTATTTAATAATTAAAAATAACACTTATCAAACATTTAAAATAGATTTATAGAAACTTTATACATTTTTTTAAAGTTTTCAACAAAAAGATAAATTTTAAATGTAAATACTAAATATTAAATAAATAAATTTTTTTGAGAGTTTTCCTTTATCAAAGGTTTTAAGCGATTGTTTTTAATCTAAGACAAATAAAATGAAGAAAACAACATTTAACTTTTAGCTTAAAAAATGGTAAAAATATTTTTACTTAAAAAAAAGGATAGTAGTGCACACAAGGAGCCAAGCCACGTGGCTTGACGAACGCGTCAAGCATTGTACCTTGACGACCTTTTGGAACACTGGTTATAAATGTCAGCTCCAAACAATTCACTTGTTAGAAATTATTTTTAATTTACTTTTCACTAATAAAACTTATTTTTCTAAAACACAAAAAAAAATTACTTTTACACCATGTTTGTTCCCATTAGAATTATAATTCATTTTTTTCTATTTTTATCAATCACACATTCCCCAATAAAATAATATTACAAAAATCTCAAAACTTTTCTCTTTTTTAACCACACATTATTCAAAAAAAAATATTCCATCCATTAAAATTTCAAATAACGAAGAGCAAACATCATGTCCAAACAATTTTTAATTTACTCTTTAATTAATAAAACTTTCCTTTTAAGAAACTGTCATGAAAATTAATAGTGAATTTATATGTAAATAATTCGTGATGGCAAAAAGCCTGCCCCGCCCCGTGAAGTGAAAAAAAGGATTAAAAATAATTTTATTTCTAAACAATTCACCCGTTAAAAACTCATTTTAAATTTGTATTTTATTCTCTAATAATAACATAACTCAAAATTTTGAAAATGAAAAAAAATTAAACGGGGCTAAAAGTTGTCCAACCTCCGCAAGAGCGAACGGCGAATTCACCTCATTGTCATCCCTATAAATAATAAATGAATAGTATTTATGAGTATATAAATAAAATTAATGATTTACTTCGATTCCAAATTATAATAAAAACCTAAATCTTAACAATTATTAAAATGCAGGAACTTATCTTAAAAGTTAGAGTTAACTTAAAAATAAAAAATAAAAAAATCAGAAACTTGTGCTAAAGGTTAGAGTCAAATGGAAAAATGAGAACTTGTGATAAAAGGTAAGGTCTGGAAAACAATGACAGGTACTTGTCCAATTTCCTAAAACAATCTCTTTTCGAACAAGTACGAGATTGTAATCTGAAATAAAGTCGACAGAAATATTCACACGACATGGATTTATTAATGCACGACAATTAAATTGTGTTAAAGGGTCATGAATCTTTATTTATTTTTAGGGTTGGGCAAATCTCCCGAATCGAATCGAATCCGACGGTTCTTGTCAAATTAAATACCCGAATGGATATCTGAATTGAGAACCGACGGGTACGGTTCGGTTCTCAGTTCTAGACCAAAAACCGAATATTTCTATTTTTTTTTATATTGAGTAAATCAAATTATTTTAATTTTAATTTTTCTAAACAAATTAACAATTTCTAAATCCAAATTTTTGGCCCAATAATTTATTTCATTTCTAATTTGGGAAAATTACACCCCTACAAGTGTTTAAACTTCCAAATTCTAAATCCAGGATTGAAGATTACCTGTACAAAAATCAGGTTTTCTATATAATTAATCTATCCCCAATTAAAAACCCTAAACATATCCCCAATTTTCTTCCCTCTCTCTCGTCTCTCTCTGCCTTCACTGCCGTCGCCGTCGAGGAGGCGACCGCCGTCGGAGATAATGGGGCAAATGATCT